AAAAAAAAAAAAAAAAATATATATATATATATATATATAGAGAGAGAGAGAGAGAGAGAGAGAAAGAGAGAGAGAGAGAGAGAAAGAGAGAGAGAGAGAGAGGATCAGGTGCCTGGGTGGCAATGGTCTCTAAACATTTTTGACTATGCACCACTATCAGTTTTTAAAATGAACACACAGTCTATAATTATACCATACTAACTTGTCCTGTGCACTATGAGAATTCACAAAATAAAAAATTTAAAAGAGACAAAAGTAAAGAATCTTTAAAAATTGTTTTCAATTGATCCTTTAGGGGTCCCAAAATATGTAGCTTACACTTATTAAGTATGCTTTTGTTCTTTTTTCAGTCTCGATGTCATTCTTTACAATGCAGTGAGCCAAAAGATCATTTTGGAAATGTGGTCTTAGTGACTGCCTTGATTTGAAAAATAACTTGGAAAGATGTGCTTATTTAATAGATGTGCATTCTTAGCATGCTGAGTCAATTGGAGTATTTGTTTTTTAAAGTACTACTGTTAACTAAACAGTCTTTTTATGTCATTTCATTTCATTTTATTTATTTGTGAGTGTGTGTATGTGTTGCTGGGGATTGAACCCAGGGCCTTATGTGTGTGAGGCAAACATTCTACTAATTTTGAGCTATATCCCCAACCCTTATACAGTCATTTTTATTAAAATTTCACTTATAAATTCTCATCACTCCTGAGATTCATCAATTATTCTTTCAAAAGAATCAGAAGGTATTATATTAGTATATTTTGTAAAATCAACCTCAAACCCTATTTAAAATATTGATTTGGATGATTTATGCACATATTAGAAAGTTCTGGTTCCAGGTTTTTAATTTATTTAGATGTGAGCTAAATGCTTAACTAAAAATAATATAAATTATGAATAACATAGCACTTGCTTTCAATGAAAAAAAAAATCATATAACAATGAAATCATTCTCAATCATCCATTTCTAAGATGTCTTTTTTTCTTCTGTAAAAACATGTCAAGATTGAGTGAGGAGAGCATAGAACACAGGAATTTTAGGTCAATGACACTATTGTGTATGAAAATATAATGGCAGATGGTTGCCATTATATATGGTCCAAACCCGTAGAGTGTACAATCACAATAGTGCCGATGTGTCAAAGTAGGTTCATCATTTCTAACAAATGAGCCTGTGTGGGATGTCAGTACTGGGGGAGGTTGTATATCCATGGGGAAATATGGGAACACTCTGACATTCCTCTCAAACTTTCTGTGAACCTGCTACACCAAAAATAAAATCTACTGATTTTTTTTTAGAACAATCAGTTTTCACTCATTGTTTAAAATATCCCTTTTCACTTAAATGGACAGATTTAGTGCATCTTATACTGCAAAGGACAATAGAGTCTAGGAGTTAAGAATAAGCCTGTACTCAGACCCTCATGCTGCCAATTGTCAACTATTCAACCAGGACAAATTACTTCACTTCTCTGTGCCTTGGTTTTCTCATGGGCAAAATGAAGATGATAATAATAAACTACCTCTAAAGGCTAATTTGCTAATTCAATGAGCTAATACATGCAAAAATGTATAATGTACAAGGAATATTTGCTTATTCTAATAAGTATGACTATCCTAATTATTTTGAAAATATTTGCTAGGCACTGTGTTCCTGAAACTCGATCACCATTGACAGGAAGGTCAGCAAAGTTGTACCCTTTGCCTTTTTGGAAATAAAAGAGTGGATGATTTGTTTTTAAATTTGATAATCTCTTTTCAATACTCTGTACCAGGCAATTTCTGCATGGTACAAAAGATGTTCGGGTCAAAGCCAATCACATATTAAAATGATTTCAAATGACACCATCCCAGAATCCACCAACCTGGGTTCAAGCCTTCTCCAAAACCTTGCACACTGAAGAACCCTGTCTTTCCATTGACCGTTTTTTTTCCCCCCACTGGCCACGTGACCTAGAGAACAGGCAATAGCACCAGTTCCATTTCTTTCCTTTTTCAAAAAAGGTAAAACAACCACCAGGAGATGTTCTGATATTTTTTCTTCCCAATCTCCATTCACCCCAGTTTGGAGACTTCTAACTGAACTAAGGGGAGAATCAGGCTGAAACTCCACTTGACCTTCATCCTCTACAAACCACCATCTTGTTTTCCACTTTCATAGAGTTTCACAGCAAATTTGCATAGAATGGGAGGAAGTATAGTCATCCTTAACATTAAACACAGGATTCCTAAGAAAGAACACTTGACGCTTCCAGTGTAGAGAACGGAGGTGACTGGTTTTTCATTTTTTTGTTTTGTTTTCCTTTCCTTTCCTTTTTTCTTTTCCTATCTTTCTGCGCTTACACCAGTTCTAACAATAACATCTACTGGTGTTTGCGGACAGTAAATGAGACACATAATTTTCTTTTCTGTGAGTTTGCCCCTGGCTTTCTGGAGTACTTCAATATGAATACAGATCTTTATCAGGTAGGATATATGTCTTCAGTTTAGAAAGATTGTTGGAAAGAGAACAACCAGGACATGAACTTTAACCKATCCTCCTACCTCTTCCTCCCCAGCTCACAAACACCGTGCACACAGTAGAACGGAGCATTTTTTTTTTATTGGTTGTTCAAAACATTACAAAGCTCTTGACATATCATATTTCATACATTTAATTCAAGTGGGTTATGAACTCCCATTTTTACCCCTTATACAGATTGCAGAATCACATCGGTTACACATCCATGTTTTTACAT